TAACATATATGTTTAATTATTTGAATTATAGAGATGTCTACCTTGTATATCCTGAATCCTCTAGAGCAGTTTGAGCTAGTAAACTTAGTAAGTATTCAAGCCCCTGTTTTAGGCTACTACGAACTCGGGGTCACGAACCTAGGGTTATTTCTGGTCATTCAGTTAGCCCTGGTGATCACTGGATTGGTAATTTGTTATAATCCTGCCTGGGTTGCACGAGTTAACACTTGGGTGGTCTTCTTCGAGAGTTTATATGGCTTTCTTGTTAATTTGCTACTTAGCCAACTAGGATTAGCTGGCCTTAAGTACTTCCCTGGAATTTTCACTTTATTCTTATTTTTACTTGTAAGTAATTTACTCGGTCTCATTCCCTACAGCTTCACCAGCACTGCTCACTTCGCGCTGGCCATTGGTCTCTCCTGTACTGTTCTCATAGGGGTAACTTACTTGGGGTTAGCTGTCCACGGATTGGCTTTCTTCAGACTGTTTGTTCCTGCTGGCACTCCTCTGGCTTTAGTTCACCTTTTAGTGGTAATTGAGAGTATCTCTTACTTGGCCCGTGCTGTCTCGTTAGGACTACGGCTCAGTGCAAACATGCTGTCAGGTCACGTCCTCTTAAATCTCATTAGTACTTTCTCCTGGAAGTTCATTACTGGATCTATCTTCGGTCTCTTGTTAGCCCCTTTACCTCTTCTTCTTTTAACTCTTCTATTTGGCCTGGAACTCGGGGTTGCCGTAATTCAGGCTTTTGTATTCGTCTTACTAACATGTTCTTATCTCAATGATGCGATTAATTTACATTAAAATTCCCCCCCCTCCTCCACCACAGTTACTTTATTAGTAAGGTTTAATAATTGGTGATCCAGTGGATAACTAATGGAAGAGAAACCCAACTGCTTGCTGAAAGTTACCTTATAAGCCCGGCCTCGCGCTAGGCAACTACGTCGTAGCGCGGGTCCTCTGCCAAAGCTACTTTATTAGTAACCCTTAAAAGTGGGCTATCTAACCGTTCGCCGGAAGAGTAACCCTAATCGGTAAGGGTGGTATCCTGCTAAGATATGGGAGTAAATCTCCTTGAGGGTTCGAGTCCCTCCTTTTCCGCAGTGCCCTTCCCCCCAGGTTAATCGGATCCGGAACTATTCCGGGATACCGCTGTCTACTAAATACCCCTCGGTTTAATACAGGGAAACCAGTGTACCTGTACACTGTCCGTACCCACGCCATTGTTTAGAATTAGTCTTACTTTTCCTAATAAGAACAGAGCTGGTGAACACGAAGGGCTACCGAAGTCTACATTGTTTAGATATATACAAAATCATACGCTATTCAAATTTAACGGGGTCTCTTATATAGTCTCTTATGAAGGCAACCTTACTTAAAATTTCCCCCCTTAAAACGTATGTAAAAATCATCATTCCGAAGATTTTTGGATATAATGCTCATACATGATAAGTAAGTAACGTTAAGCATTGATGCTAGCACGCTGGCTGTATTCAACCAATGCTAAGGATATCGGGACTCTCTATTTAATATTCGCGCTCTTTGCTGGAATGATCGGGTCTGCCTTTTCAATGGCCATTCGCCTTGAGCTAGCTGGGCCAGGCGTACAATTCCTTCAGGGGGATCATCAGCTATACAACGTGATAGTTACGGCCCATGCTTTCATAATGATCTTCTTCCTTGTAATGCCGGCGAACCTTATAACAAA